CCCCTCCTCCAGAATGGAACCCTAGCAGCCCCAACGCCCCCCAACGGATCCCCAGAGGACTCCCCCTCCCTCCAGAAGCAGCACCTCCTGCAAATGGCCTCAGAAGTCGCAAACGCCCTCGTGGACTCTGAAACCGAGACCTCATCCCCCGCCATCCACTCAGACCTGGAGTATCGCAACCACTTCCTGACGACGTGCCTCGACGAGCAAAAGCGCCTGGTGAACCAACTCCACATCCAAGTGAGTCAATACAGCTCCCGAGTCTCCGAACTAGAGGCTCTCCTCTCCACAAAGGAAGCAGAACACGAATCCAAGTTTCTTCGAGAGCTGAATCCCCTGAAAGAGCAGTTAAAAGTCCACGCCCAGACGACTGGGATCCTCGTGGCAGAGAAGGCAGAATTGTCCTCAGCCATCGCGCAGTACCAAACCATCTCCCAGCAGAAGTCCTCAGAAGTCGAGGATCTCTGTCTCAAGCTGAAAACCTCAAACTCAAAGACAACAGAACTGGAACGTGAATTATCGCACTTGAAAAACGCAACAGAAGAGATGAGAAAAAATTACCATCAGCTGCAGTCGGACAACGCTCACCTCGAGAAGAAGTTCTCAGACCTGAAGAAAGATAAAGAGGAGCAGCAGCTGGAGACAGCCGAACTCCGCCAGGAGCTGAACCTGAAGAACACAGAACTGTCGAGCCTCCATCGAGAGCTCAACGAGAAGAACAATCTTCTGTCGCTGTCTGAACTTAAAATCCAACAGCTGACGGGTCCACAGGAGATGCAGGCGCTGGAGGGTCACCACCAGACTCAGACAGTCCTCGAGCAGCAGTTGTCCCAGCTGCGAGAGACCCTCAAGTCCGTTAACAACGAGAAGGAAGAGACCAGCAAGCACTACGAAAATTACGTGAAACAACTGGACAGCAGATACGACAAAGTACTTCAGGAACTGGAAGCAGCGAAATCTAAAATTGGAGAGAGTGAAAAACGTGAGGAGAGTCTCGTCCAGAGGCTCTCAGTGATGGAGCAGCAGTACCAGAGGGAGAAGCAGAGGGTGGAGTCCCTCCTGCCTCTGGAGGCACACGAGGAGAAGATCAATCACCTCACGAAGAGCGTGGACGTCCTGGTGGTGGAGAACGAGACTCTCCAGTCGAGCATTCGTGAGAAGGACGCTGAGATCGAAGCCATGAAGGAGGAGCTGCACCATCTGCAAGAGTTGAAGGACCAGAACGTCGAGTCGTTGAAGCTGGCGAGTGCTCTGGAGAGTGAGCAGTTGGGGGCCTCCAGGGCAGTCTCCCAGAATCAGGAGCTCAAAGCACAACTGAATGAGATGCATGACGCCTTCGTCATGCTGAGCAATTCGAAGTTGGATTTGACTGAGCAGCTGCAGGGGGAACGAACCATCGGGAGAAAACTCAATGCAGAGTTGAATCGAGTTGAGGATGAGAGGGACGAACTGAGGGAGGAGCTGAAGAGGAAGGACGCTGTCATCGAGGAACTCGAGAAGGATAGACTGCAGACTGCTCAGGTTGCTGATCAGATGCAGCATTATCAGGTGCAGTACAGTCAGAACAGGACTCTTCAGCAGGAACTCCAGAGCACCCTGAGCGCCTTGGAGTTGTTGAAGAGGGAGAATCAGACGTTGATTGGGAAGCTCCATGCGTTGGGGAAGGACTCAGGAGACGTTGATGAGGGAATTTCAGAGGGAATTGAGGGGGAGGAGGTGGAGGCGCAGGTGGAGGTGCCTGTTGTCGTCGTTGAGAAGAAGAATTCAGAGGTGCAGACCAATGGAGAGGGCCTCGAGGGGGAGATACTCTCGGAGCCACTGAAGAAACTGGAGATGAGGTTCAAGGAGACGATGGAGAGGGTCGCAGAGTTGACGGATGAGAAGCAGAAGCTCGAGCATTTGGTGCTGCAGCTTCAGGGGGAGACTGAGACCATCGGGGAGTACATTACTTTGTATCAGAAACAACGTGCCATTCTTCAGAAGAAAGCCCAGGAGAAGGAGCAGACGTTCAGGCAGTTGGTCGAGCAGAGGAATCAGCAGCAGGTGCAGCTGCATCAGCTGAAGGTTCTCGTTGCTGAGCTGCTGAGGACGCAGACTGGGGGGAACTCTGGGGATCATTCGGTGCCTGAGGACCCTCTTCTAAGTGGAGAGGAGCGTATACGTAAGCAGGAGAGGATTCAAAATTTTTTTAATATTTAATTGCAGCTGTTTTAAACTTAAAATTATGTTGATTTTTTTTCTTCATCTAGGTGGAGAAGAAAGAAATACAGAAAAATCGCCAGAAGACCCAAAATCAGACGGATCTACGATGGATTTGAAGAGCGAGACGACATCCAAAATCCTTGATCTTTTGACAGAAATAAAAGACTGCAAGGACACGTGCTCTCTCGAGCCGAATTTCCATCCCTGTCTGTGGTGCTCTGGAAAACTCATCACAGTTTAACGAGTTTTCTACTATTTTTAATACAAAATTTGGCCTTGCATGTAATTTATTCGTAAAACACGGGGATAATGTAAATAGCAAAATAGAGTGTATTTCCAAGGTGTCATTTCAATATTTTGTCAATCTTTTTCGTGCTTTAGTTATTGCTATTAAACTGCATTTTAATATATTTAACTTCGTTGTTGATGAATTTTTGGTTGAACATTGAGGCCTCAACAGAGAACAGTATAAATTAACATTAATAATGTTCAGTAGACGATATTCGACTGAGGAATTCTTGTATTGTAAAGTTAATAATCAAGTAATTGAGAAATAAAATTTTTCATACACAACTGAGTGGAGTTGTCCCGCGAGGAGAGGAAGAGTGAATTGAGTTGGGATTTTTTTGAAGATTTTTTTATTAGTTTTTGTGAAACAGGTGACAGATTTATGCCTTGAGGGCGTACTTCCTTACGGGCCAAGCGGATAATTTTCTGACTTCCTTCAGTGTCTTTTTGCCAGCCTGGAATGGCGTCAACTTCCTGCGAATAGCTCTGGTCTTCTTTGGCCTGAGGTCCAGGGGCTTGTACTTCTTGTTTTTGTGGAAGAGACGAAGGTTCTCCTTCTGCTTCTGGTGCATGATAATGTAGACGCGGGCTATCGCTTTACGCACGACACGACTGAAACATTCAAGAAATTCAATTCATTAAAAAATCCAGTATTCAATTATTCTCTTAATAATTTCTTTTTTGTTTCAACTCATTAAATAATTTCTAAATCATAATTTAATGCGTAATATTGATCGAAGACAAGATTAACTTGAATATTTGCTGAAACAAAATTGAAATTATCAATTTAAAGTTATAATTTAGTTGACAAGTTGTTAATTCAAGAGAATTCAATAGAAATTTGCGGATTATCGAAGTTTTAACATTCAATTATTCTCTTAAAATATTATTGACATTATTTTTCAACTTCAATCAACAATTGAATCTTCAATTAATGTTTTGAATGTGGCGGAAGCCAATGTATGACAATTTCCGAAAATTACCAATTAATTTTGTCTTTAAAAAATTATTTTAAATGTCTCTCGACATATTTTCATAAAATAACTCTCTGTCAACACAATTTTACCCTCAAAATGTGAAGAAATCACTCACGAAACTCCACTCGTTTCAACAATCACTTCAAAATAATTTCTTGATTGTTTATAACTTCAATTAACAACTACAGTTTTTAATAAATTAATTGCCATCCACCAACAGTACAAATAATTCCTGAAGTTAAGAAACAGTAAAACTTACATCTTGGAGAGTTTGGAAGCTGCTCCTCCTGTCACTTTGGCAACTCGGAGGTTGGTCAGCTCGGTTTTGAGCTCCTCCAGCTGCTTGAGCAGCTCCTTCTTCTCCTTCGTCCTCAGCTCGGAGCACTTGACTTTGGCCTGAAACACAATAACCCAATCTTTCAACAAAACCATCAGTCACAGGGAGACTTAACCTCAAACTCCATCTCGATTGTTTGTCACGCCAAACTAAACAATTATCGCTTCAAACCCCAGAAATAATCACGACTAAAACACAACTGTCTTCGAAAACACTTAAATAATGCGATTGAAGCTCAATTTAGTGATAATAATTAGAGATTGTTGTGTTATTGACAAGATGGCATGGAGAAACTGTCGACGGTTCTTCGATTTATCATAAAACAGCGAATAGCAAACAATCACTGGAAATAATCCACCCATTTTATCACTTGAACAATGTATTTTAACAGTTGTCGTTTTTTATTAATATCTGTTTAACGATGTATTGGATAAATACGGATTACGAGGTGGTGTCGAGAACTAACCATTTTGCCACACGTTTGTGGAGAGAAAGAGAAAAAAGATGGCGGAAGCGGTCTTCGAACGAATCCACTCGCTAGTCATATTCCGTACCGAGTAGCGATGGTGACTCACGTTGTCCTCAGTTGTGGTGGGCCAGTCGCATTGTCGGGAATGAAAGTCGGTTTCTTTGTCGAAAAATTTTGTAAAAATTATCGAAAAACGGTCGAGTGCGTGGGTATGAAATTGACGATCCATTTATATAATTTTCGTGGTGATGTGATGACGATTAGTGACAGTGGAGACAAACATTCACATTTTAGTTTGTGGGCTTCGGAGATTTTGGAGGGAAAGTTCACGGCTAGAAGTAAACAAAGAACTTCGGACGGGCGATCGGTGAGTTATTGTTATTTTTTTGTTTATGAAGCGATAATTTGAGAAAAAGCAACGGTTTTTTCGGTAGAGTGTCAAACGAGACAATAAAATTCAGTCAATTCGCGAGAAAAAGTGAGGAATTGCAAGAAATTACAGCCAAATTTCACATTCATCAAACGCTTTGACATAAACATTCAGTTGATGGTGAATTTTATGATTTCATTGATAACAACGCGGAAAAACATTCGCATTTTTTGTTTGTTTTCGACATTTTGAAGGGAAAATTAGCAAAACAAAAACAAACTTTAGACATTTCAATCGGTGGGTTATTGTTATTTTACTGATTATGGATCGATTATTAAAAAAACGTGATGTTTTTTTTCGTTAGATGTCAAATGAGCCAATAAAATTCGTGAATTTTCTTTAATTCACGTGAAAAAATGAAGAATTCCACGAAATCGCACAGAAAAAAATATTTTGAAATTTTTTTTTCTGAAATTTCACATTTTGCAAAAAGTTTGTCACAAAAATTCAGTTGCCTGCGATGTTCATGATTTTATTACCAACCATGGGGCAGAATAATCGCATTTTTATTTTATTTGGCCCATCCCAGAGTTAAAAAAATCGGTATTAGTCCTCCAAATAGAAAAAAAACAATGATTTTGAATCCACAGGATCTGTCCCAATCTGTCTTTATTTACATCCAACAAAATTCTTAAACAAATCATTCACAACACTCAAAAACATTGTTTTGTTATTCTTGCATACATACAGAACCCACGCATACACAATACTGGAGTTTTTAAAATTCAAACTAAAATCCCAGCAAGATATCCCGGCTACCCTTTCACACCCTTCGAAGCATCTCTTTTTTTCTAAACTGAAACTGTTTCGTCATGCTCTTGAATTTCGATTTTTATCCAAACAATCTGGGGACGATGGCTGATGCATGCATGTCGTTGATATCATGACGTATGACAAGGCACGTGACATCGGAATACTCATACACTCAATTTTATTCGGTGTCGACACCTTGCCAAAAATTTTGAGATTTTATCATTGAACTTTGAACGTTTGTTCGAATTATTTCGATCAATAGAAAATTTGTAAACCAGAATAGCTGAATTATCTCGAGAACGAGTGGTTCTAGGAGAAAACATCAGAACACCTTTTTTGTAGAGAATTAAATTTCCAACAAAAAATGTTCCATGGTATTTTCCCCTAGGAGCACTCGCTCATGGATAATTCAACCTTTCCTCGTGCTCTGTAGCTGCACCACTGATTTATCTCGTGCCCCATTCGAATGATTCGTTTTACGATTTTAAATTAAGCTGTCCTAAAGTTTTTTGTCTGTTCTAATTAGTGAGGTGTTTACATAGTATAGGATTTATATATAAAGACTCTTGAGCAGTTGAAATACAATTGCTACTAAGTACCTTCTGTCATGTTAAATTGACATTGTATTATGCACGATTTAGTCATTCATATTTTCTCCTCTCGTGTTCAAATGATCGCCCAAGTTGCTGTGATTGCCTGTACAGATAATATCGACTTTTTTTACACGTCAGTTTTCTCATTTTTTTTTCTTCTTCAGTAGACAAATAATTAATTGTATTACGTACAATATTCTATATACATTTCTCAGAAACGAATGGCACATTTAAATCTGGCCCGTCTGGCAGGTTGTGGACATAGAAATTTATTTTTTCCTCTCTTCATTCTGAATTCATTAATTTTCTCAACACCAAGACAATGAGAACCAGCAATGTGCTTTATCAATCGATAACTAAGGACTATTTTCACCTGTTTATTTTTGCTAAATAGTTTATTGGAATTGAATTGAAAAAATAGTTCAAGGTAAAATGAGCACGCTAAACCGTTAAACAGCACGATATCTGGTAGTTTGTCATGGAAAAAAATTATAATCACGCTGTTTTGGTCCAGATTTTTCTGAAATAATGCGGTAAGAAGACACTTCAGTCTCTCATCAATAAGTTTTCTCGCCTCGTGAACCTCAAAATCCGACTAAACGAGTCGATGTAAAATTGACTAGGATTGAATTTAATTTTCAAACGATATTTTCTTCCTAAAAAAACAACAAAAATTATTCTAAATTGCCTAATTGTGCTCACAATCGAACCGAAAATATTAATTTTCCATCAATTCATTGACTGCAATAATCACAAGTGCACGAAAATGAAGTATCAATTCACATTTCGCGAATTATTCCCCACCTTCTTACCGCGAGCCTAGAGGACTAAAGAATACGCAATGAAAAAGAAACTACAACAGGAATATCACGAAATATCCATCCACTCGAATGATGTCCATTTCTTATTTGTTTTTTTTTTGGTTTTCAATGTTCTCCCACCGAGAATTCCCCTCTTTCGCTAATGAAGTGCCTTTTTCCATTGGCACTTTATAACTTTGCAGAGCCCGAAATGATCTCTTGATACAATTCAGGCGTCACTTCTACGTACTCTTTATTACCAGAACGGAAATAAACTTTATCCTGAATTTTATTGGGATCAAAGCCCTCTTTCTGGAGATTTATCTTCTTGAGCTTGAATGTACTCGTCATTTCGAGTTCTTTGACGATTCTAAGGAATATGGGACGCGCGTAGGATGGAAGTGCACGATCTAGCCCCTCAGCGAGGGCTTTGAAGTCCAGGAGGCACTCGGGATCCACTATTGCAGCCATTCCTGCACGTCCTTCCATTCCTGGCACCTTTAATCATAAAAAACAAAATTTATTTCCATCTTTTTGTGGAAATTTCTCATTCTATCAGACGATTTCGATTTTTCTTGTTGATTCTTCATTTGTTTTTAAGACGAGTCATTTTTTCATTAGAGAATTGAATTATCAGCAAAAAAAATTCTCTGAATGGCTCTTGATCGAGACAAATTGATATTCAACAGGATTAAAAAATGAAATTACCTGAACTCCGTAGACTGTAGTATCTCTATGCCCGGCAACATTACTCACGACCCCCTCCACCTCGGCAGTTGCCACATTTTCACCTTTCCACCTAAACGTATCACCAGTTCTATCTTTAAAGTAAAAATACCCCAATTCATCCTGCACCAGTATATCACCCGATAGAAATGCCTTGTCTCCCTTCTTGAACACGTTCTCTATCACTTTTTTCGCCGATGCCTCTTTATCCAAGTATCCGTTGAACTCCCTCGACGCATTGCCCTGCTTGATCAGCCCAATGAACATGCCAGGTTCGTCTGGAATAACAAGCAATTCGGTAAATCAATTGAGTAAATCAGTCTCATAAATAAATGAAGAAAACAAAATTTCCATATGTTGCATAAAAAAAAAAATCCTGAGGTTGAAAAGTTAATCTTTGAAGATTGGTAGAGTGGAGTTTCAAGGGTTATTTTGAAGGCATTTTTCGAGACTTTAAAATGACCCCTGATTGGCTCAGATCGCAGAATTTGGCTAGGAGATAATGAAATTCAAGGTATATCCCTAGAAAACAGGTTTTTCTTACGATTGCTTCCACGTTTTTCATAAACGAGATCGGCCGCGCGTGCTGCGCACGCGCCTTCTCATCTTCTCACGTAGTGGCGCTTTGATTTCAGTCTTACGCTTACGCTTATTCGAGATTTTCGAGATATTTCGGGATCGATTTCTTTTCTCCTTTTTACGATAGGATATTTTTGAGAGTTCTGAATAGCCCGTCGCTTAAATAGTTGGAATCAACTTTCATCCGGCTAAAAAATTCGATTTTGGCGAAAATCCACTTGCCCCGGAAAACCCGAAAATCGGACCCTTTGGCTGGGGCCAAAAAAGTATATATTTTATGTATGGAATTGGCTGATTAATAGATAAACGTTATATAGGATTTATATAAAATATATACGAAACATAAATTCATATCTTATATAAATCGCACATAGATATGCGAAGAATATATTAAATGATATTAATATATTATATATATTAATATAATTATATTATACATTTTAAAGATATTTTTCCACGAGGGAAACTTACTTATTTCTGCCCGTATGCAAAGCCCATCGGGTCCCCTAACCGGTTCGCAAGTCTCAGGATTGACACGAATAATAGCAACTGGATGAAGTGATTTCGGCAGAATAGATGGAACAAATCCCACAGCCCCAACTTGATTATCAACATTAACGATATTGGCATTTCCCTCGCTCGAGCCGTAGACCTCAGTGACCTGTTCGATCTTAAAACGATCCACAAATTTCTGCCAGATTTGCGGTCGCATTCCATTACCAACCATCAATCTCACTGAATGCTGAGTGTCCTCGGGTCTCGGTGGTGCTGACAACAAATACCTGCACATTTCACCAATGTACTCAGCCAATGTGCAATTGTATTTGATGCAATCGGTCCAGTATGCTGATACTGAGAATTTCGTACGGAGAACACTTGGTATTCCTTTGACTAGGGCACATCCCGTACCGACCATTCCACCTGCCATGTGATAGAGGGGTATTGGATTGTACATTATGTCACTCTCTGCACGCAAGCCCAGCATGTGGTAGGTTGCCATTGTCACCAGGAGGTATCTGAAACCAGAATCATGTATTTATTTATTTTTTTTATTGATTTTTTTTGAGGGGTTGAAAATTTTATTGTCAATAAAAATTTTTTTTTTTCAATTTTTATTTTATATTGATTTTTTTATGTTGAAAACTTTTGGCTGAAATTTTTAGGACACTTCTTGTTGATATTTTCATTACGTTCTAGTTTCGGAAAAGTAGATTTTATCAATCATTATTGACAAAATCCTCGATTTGGGAAAAAAAATCAATAAATGAATAAATAAAGTAAAATTTTCAAGAGTTGCAGTTCTACGGAAATTTGAAGGCACTTCGTCGTTGATAATTCCGGGTAATTTGGTACTGAATACTTATATTTGGATTGAAAATTCATGGCCATTAGGGAATTCGCGAAATTCCGGTGCACTTTTTAGAAATTTTTATCGCGTTATAGTTCCAGTGAAATTTCAATTTTTTCCAGCAGTGGGTAGAGAATTCCCTGTTCACCAATTATTCATGAAGACAACGTTGAAAGTTAGACCCCCAAAAATCTCGAAATCCTAAAGGCACATTCATCTCTTCACCAATCGAGTTTTTCTCTCAATTAATGACAATGAAAAGACTGGTGCTGTAACAAGGTAGACATCACCTCCCTAATCTCATTCTGTCGAGTTGTGGGGTCTCCCTGACAGGATTACCCACCCGTTCGTTACGTCCGGTTCAAACACCCAATCGTAGCAAAATTCAAAAACTCAAAAGAATCGACGTCTAAAAATAAGTGATCAGTGTACGATTGTGGAAAGCCCTGATGTAGATAGTAATGAACTCTCGTGTATTTGTGTCTCCTTCATTAAAACGTGACCCACATTTCATGATCAATAACCCGTAAATAATGCAAGAATCATAGGCCTCAACTTGACCAGAAGCCAAACTTAAATTACTACAAAGTCTGAGCACAGTTGTACTCCGTTTCCGTTTTTACTTCTTGTACAAGAAATTGTGGTGTTCATGTGTTCTGCGTGAAAATACGAGCAGGAAATGCTGGCTAGGTCGATATACACGAGGTTGAGAATGTTCTCCAGTATTTTTGGTCTTCTCACCTAGAATTTGGCATGAGAACTGCCTTTGGCAGGCCAGTGGTGCCACTCGTGTATATGTAGAGGAGATTGTCTCTGTATCCTGGCTCCTGCTCCACCACTGGATACTCCCTACTCGCCTCGGACAAGAGTTTATCCAGATTTTTTATCTCCTCTTGGACGTCAGCCTCTCCTGCCCCCTGCTTGAACCATTCTAGGTCTTGGATAGAGTCCCGGATCTCGTCGATAGCTAGCAGAAATATCATTGATATGAGGTGACCATTTAGAGTATATGCTGCATCGAGATTTTATACTTTCACGTTTTGTTTGGATCATAGTAGCGAAGTGGTAAAACGGTACAAGTCAATTTTGACTATTGGCCAGTTTTCAATGAATATCTCGGAACCTAAGGGAGATACCGATATTTTTGTTATAACCTTTTTTGTAGAGCCGATCGAGAGCTACAATAAATGTAATTACGAAAATTTCGCTATTTCTCTTAGATTCAGAAATATTCCTAAAAAACTCAACTGGGAGATGAGTCGACTTGAACCGTTTTACGACTTCGCTACTGATATGATAATGAGGATATACGACACATGTCTTGGAGAAAATGGGGATAATGTTGACTGATTGATTGATTGATTGAGATTTATTCACTGTACATTATGTCGTACATAAAAAATGAAGTAATGACAAAGTCATACAGCGGAAAAATAAGAGAAAATGACTAGGAACTAACAGAGGCCGTAAATAGGAAGAGTAAGACAGTAGGAGATGGCAAATAATGTGTGCGAAGGGCTCGCAATAAGAAAAAGAACGAAAAATAGGAAAAGCACCATGAAAGGAAGATATTGGAGAGACTCGAGGGGTATAGCACGGTATTATGACCAGTGTAATTACGAGTTGAGGACAGTTACGGCGTATTTGCGCTGTCTATAATCACAGAACTATTTCTCGGAATAAAGGGAGTGCATTGTAAATGTATAAGTGGATCATAATTCAACAATTTGATTTTTTCCACCGCTTTTTACCCCTTCGCTGGTGATTTTCTTAGACATGAAAACGTAAAAATTCCAGCTCAAATTATTTGAATTGTCCGTTCATGAGTGGCACAGACGGATACGAAGAATACGAAGACGTTATCAAATAAGAGTTGGAATATCACTCGAAGTTTCATACATACCGGAGGCAACTTCATTCCCATAAATGACGGCCTTGACTTTAGCAATAGTCAGACAATGTGTGAGAAGTTGGAGTCGGAGATTGGTATTGATCAGGGCTGTGATAACACCAAGTTTACCGAGACCCAACCAAGTCGCCACGAACTCTGGTTTGTTGGGCATCATCAGGGCCACTGCGTCGCCTTTTCTGTAGCCAGCCTTCTGGAATACGTCGGCTATTCTGTTGCTGTACTCGTCCATCTGTGGAAAATTGTCTTCATTGTTTTTCTTATCGCGGGATGATGATGAGTGACGGCGCTGTGAGTCAGCTACACTTTGATCGCCAACAGAATGGAATAAATGTACGCAGCAAAAACGAATGTCTGAATTTCTCAAACCTTTTAGAGACATTTTTCAGACTAAAAAACGTCTGAATAAAATGAAAATTTGTCTGAATTTCGGACGAACAGGCGCCTAAACATCTTAATTCATATTTGAAATTTAGACAATTTTCGTTTTATTCATACGTTTTTTAATTATCAAAAAATAATTTTTTTGTGCCATACATGCAGAGAGTGCGCCGGAATGAAACTTTTTTTGTCGCAAAAATAGATTTAGTAGTCGAAAAAAAATTGCATTCTCTGTACAAGCAAGAAATGTCATTTCTAGCACTAGTCTTTCGTTATTCGATACTCCCATACGTATTTTGCTTCCGAAAAATTTTTGTTTTACGCGAGACAAGGGATAGTATTTTTTCGTTTCGGTTGTCTAATAATCACAGACAACAAATGAACCCTTAAATGAAACAATAATAATGATATGATAGCAATCTTGTAACTTGGGAATAAAATATTTGTTGACAAATTTTTCTCTGCATGAGATATTTTCATCCTGAAAAGGCACCGTCTGGTGTGAATCCGCCTCTTGAGCCAAATATTTCGTTGCTGTCGACAGCAGAGCAATTATTCATGTTTGAATGTTTGAATCAAATTCGAACCAAACAAATTTTTTTTTGCAATTTTCAACTAGCGATTTTGTTGGCGCAAACAAGACTTGTTTGACAACGTGTTTATTTTTCTCTCAGTGTACGGACGTTTTTATTCATCTTTGGGATGTTATTGATGGGATGAGCAGGATTACACGTGGAGTCGATGAACGAAAAGACATTTTCAGGATTACACGTGGTGTGATAGACAAGGAAATTTCCTCCTGTGGGAAGGGAATGCACGTGGGGTTAAAGTGAAAATGTGAAAGGGCACTTACGTCAGCGTTTGTCCATATGCGACCCTCGAAGATGAAACAGGGCTTGTTGGGGTAGAGTTTCGCCCGCTCCTTGAAAATCTTCATTACAGTCGTGTTGTTTCTCACGTAACGCTTCGTTTCTCGGTCTGCGTTGGCGTAACGATACAGAAATCTGAAAAGAAAAGTTTAGGTAATTGATTGGACAGAGGTTGGCGTCAGCTCAAGTGCTTCGTGTGACGTAATAGGTGAATTTACGGTTTATGACGCAGAATGAAGGGGTTGGGGGTGAGCGAATTCCTCTCGGAACAGGTCAGATTTGGGGAATCTCAGTGGTCGGGCAGATTTTTTTCCACACAAGCATTTCTCTTAATATTTTTTCTACGAATTTTTGCAGTCTATTTATTGAGATGTGGTGTTAAATATTTTTGATAAAAATCGTTCCAATGAAACGTCATTTAGGGTCAATTCCTCAGGGGAATTGAGAATGCAGAATTTTATTCGTCGGAGCTATTAATATTCAATTGCATTTATAAAACTGTCGAATCAAATCATGAAATTGTGGGCAAATTTTGTTCTTCGTAAATGATTAGTAATAATTAAACCAATATAGCTAATTAAATGACGTATTATGGCACTGAATATTCACGTTTTCATTGAAAATTCAAACCAGTTGAGAAATTCTCGTTTTAATGCTGTCAATAAATTTTTAATTTCATAGAATTCTCTGCGAATTGTGAAATTTCAATTTTTTTGAAACAGTGCATACTAAAAATTATTCAGGTGGAAAATCAAATCGAGTCGTCGAACTGGGACCACTGGGGGTGTCACGATCAATCGATTCAGGGGTGACACTAAATAAGTGATGAAATGATATTCATTCAATCCAATTTTCCCCGGGGCAGCATGTGTTGCTATTTTTATCAATTCTCCGCTATGACTGACATTTCCATTCGGAAAAATATTGTTGGGAAAGGTCCATTGATTAGATAGCTGTCAGAGTGGGTTTTATTGAGAGAAATGCGGATAAAAAATTCAGAGGAAATCCCGGCAGTTCCGCTGGGAAATTCTATCTGTTTTTTGCTCATTCTGGTGGAAATGTCAGCGCGTTTTTTCGGATAGGATATCTCTCAGGGAAAATATCCTACAGGAAGAATTCCGCATTAACCAGAATATTTATGGAATTCATTTTATTGGAAATTCGTTCGTAAAAATTCCGCGACAAGAATTTTTTGCGACTTTGCAGAAGAATAAATCGTGGAATTTTATTTGATAAATTTTTTTGTACATGATCTCTTTCTCATGGCCTTTCGGAAAATAATTTAGTTGATATATAGGGGAGGTTGGGGTAAAATGGACACATTTTACTTTTTTTAAATGGTAATGAGGGGTTGAAATGTTGATGAAATTTAATAGATTTTTTTTTTCAATGCAAAGAACAATTCTTTCCCTTTGCGATGAGCCTAAACTGAGCCTGAAGTGTCCATTTTACCCCACCCTCCCCTACACAACAAATACGAGAGTGAATGCTGTTTTATTCTCATTCAGTTGTCTGTCAACTCTGCCCCCGCATGTGCATAAAAATTGTATCTCGATAAAAAATTTTATTTCCTCAAGAAACTTTGAGGGCCACTCCACCGGACGAAATTTCCTGACACAATATTTCGGTTGAGATAAAAGATAAAGAGACTGGAACAAACTTTTTCAGCTTCCCCGAGGTCTCCATAAACGAAGCTGTCTGCGAGGACTCAGAAACTTTTAGTTGGGAGGGACCTCCATCTTCTGTCAATAACATTGAGTTTGCGTGTCGTATTAAAATTTTTCGGGATGAATAATTCCCCGGTGACACGAAAAGTGGGAACGGAAGGCAATAAATGTCTAGATTAATCCATTTGCGGAGGGGGGAGGAGGGATTACGGCTGATTAATCCGAAATAAAAACAATGAGAATAATTTTATGTTGAAGTTGAATTAATTATAATAATGAAGACCTCATGCACTTGATGGAAACGATTTTTTCAATGACGCGTGTACATTAAATGCGGAATTATCTTCACACCGAGTGATTTTAGAGGAAAACATCAGGAAACATTTTTTGTAGAGAATTTCATGAACTGTAAAAGAAGTCTTTTCACATTTTCTCGTAGAATCACTCGTTCCAAGATAAATAGCAATGAACCAAGAACTAACAAAACTGTTTGGAATTGAGTTACTGTACAAGGTTCGCCCCTTGCCCGTCGGGTTGGAGGAGAAATGTGATAAGTTGTTCACATAAACACAAATAGTTCAAAGTTCGATCGGGGAAAGGACACATTGGTTGACCTTTAGATCGAGCGTAACCCCTGTTAAATATATAGAACTGTGATTAATTGCGGGATCACGTAGGCGCGTGCTTTCCCCGGAAAGCAATATTCCTGGGGATGTTATGATCGGAATAGCGTACATTCTGAGAAGTTTATAGGATTCTGTATGGGGTCCATAGGTTGAAAATGAAATCCCGCATAGAGAAGAAATTATTCGAATTGAGTATTCGGAAATGTTTGATATAAATTAATATTCTTGCATCAATTCCGTTCATTTCCTGAGTTCTAAAGATTTTAAAAATGTTGTCAGAGTAGCGTTAAATGAACCAATTGAACAATCAGATAAAATTCCGTAACGAAGTGGTAAAGTGGAATTCAATTTTGACTATTGACCAGTTTTCAATGAATATCTCGGAATCTAAGGGAGATATTAAAATTTTTGTTATAACCTTTTTTGTAGAGCCGGTTAAGAGCTACAACAAATGTAATTACGAAAATTACGCTATCTCGCTTAGATTCCGAAATATTCCTCAAAAACTCAACTGGGAGATGCGTCGACTTGAAACATTTTACCACTGCTCCTGAATTTTTTGTCTATCATTTTATCTGATGTTTTTATTTTATAAATGATGCATGCATCAAAGAACAACGCTGCGGAAATAATCTGAAATTTCCGTGTGCTCTCCCATATTGAATGGGATATTAAAATTTAAATAATTTATGAAAACGCAAAAGAACACGTGGACATTGATGTGTGATCGTCGGCTCGCGATGGGGCACTTCGGAAACTCGTCAGTTGACTCTGAATAATTCAGGCGAAGGACACCCCTAGCACGCGAAACTATCGCACTGTCACGGGGAAGATATCAGTCGAGTCAATTAGAAACAAAAAGTGGCACTGTCTCTTGCCATTATCGGCTCGCCAAGAGAGGTATGGGGAAACGAGAGAAAATGTGATTGAGGTCGGGTTTGTGGATTTCTAGGTAAACTTCGTGGGGAGATCTGTCAATTTTCCTACGTCAGAGAGGTTTACTGGTTCTTGGGGGAAAGATGAGACTGTCGAGAGAAAAGAAAACAGAGCAAAACAGTTTCTCGATTTAAAATATATAAGGGGGCGATGGGTAGGACATTTAAGAAAATATTCGTAAAACTGATCTAAATGATTGATTAGGGGATTTTCATCGAGAAAGCAGACTTCATTTACCTATTCATCTTTATCAAGATTGTGAGATAATTGATATTTATCATGAGAAAATTCTGGAAATGATCACGTGATGATGCATTAAGTCATAAAAATCATAAATTGATTAAATTATAAATTAATTGGTTAAAGGTTTCCTGAGGTATTGAAATTCTTCTGGGATATCCAAGTACTTTGGCTATTTTTTCTCCAGTGAAATGCTCTTCTGCTTTTGTTTCCGGACATTTCAAAATAATTTTATTATTCAATCTTTCTTCATTTCATTATTTAATCTCCAGTCTTGTTTTCCCGAGTCAACACAACTCTCGCAATTTCACAATTCGTTTAGGACAATCCGTTCAAACCGTCCGGCAACCCCTCAACCATGAAAACCAACGATAAAGTAAATATTGAAATAGTCTCCGTGCTTATCAGGTCCCATGATAAGCATTAAAAATTCGTGTAGCCCTGCGAATCAATAGCCCAGTCTACCTGAGTTTGTCGAGTATCAAAATCGCTACAAAAAATGTAGAGGTGTTTAAACATCTTTAAATCATGAGCAAACTCATTCGCAGTAAAAAAATCGCTTCCACGATGGTTGCACCCTTGAACCCCCGAAAATTCCCTGAATTGCATTTTCCGCGAGCGAATATTCCGCCAGTCTCAGCCGCATACGAACCCCCCGAAAATTGAAAATTTGCCAATTGAAATTCCGTTGAAAAATCCGTGATTATTCATGCACAAAACCACTGCCTTTTATTCTGTCTTCCACCGACGTTTCCAGTATCGATCGCCTTTCACGTTGATACAAACCCACTGTCTGCATTTTCCGATGAAACATTAAAGAAGTACATGCAATCATTACTAAACTCCCCTTTGACTACTGCGTTGAAATAAAATGCGAAGAGCAAATAATGAAGTTTAGTCATTCGATTAAGACTTGAATGCAATTGCGTCAATTATTTAAATGCACTAAATCGCTTTCTGAAGAGACGAAATATCCATAAATAAAATAAAATAAACCATTTTCTTTTCGTCTATTCGACGAATATGAACGAAAAATTCTCTATCCGAAGATTTTTAAACTACAATGTTCTCTAGTCTAGAATAACAGCTGATGAAATCCGAAATATCAGTTCACGACCTTTTAATGTCCCATTTCTATTCCACGAACACTTCATGCCGGAAGATGGCAGGTACCCCTTAAGATTTCAAATTAAACCAGAACTATCACTTCCACACATTGACCCCGACCGGGAGAAGGCGCCTTCTCCGCCCGATTTCTTCGCGTCTACGGAAATACCGGGGTAAAACGGAACTTTTTAAATATCTGAGGCTCATTAGACTGAAATCCCCCAAAAAGTCCCATTTTACCCCACCCCGTGACAACCCCAAAGACTACGCGTGGAAAAAAAAGAAATTACTGAAGTGTAAAAATTCCTTTAAATTTAATCGCTTGAATTTTTCTTTTTCACCAAAATCTCGGGAATTTTACTGTTCGTGTGGGAAAAATTACGTTGGAAAAGTAAAAATTAATGCAATGCCTCACACTTAATATAATAATAAAAACTAAAATTAAATTAATTTAACTAAAAAATGAAATTAAAATTAAAATTAGAAGTAAACCCCTAAAAAATTCCTATTTTGCCCTCTGAACCCCTCCACCGCCGAACTGCAAAGACTAAAGGTAAAAAATCCTTGAAATTTAGCCGCTTGTGTCGTCCTTTTTCCCCAAAATCTCTGGAATTTCCCTGATGGTGTGGTGTTGATAAATGCCGTTGCGAAATATAAAATTAAAGCTCTGCCTGACATGTTAAAACAAAAACCCCTTCAAAAAAATTTCCCCCGGCGCAATAGTACTTACTTGATGTCTCGGGGTAGTGTTCTCAGAATAACGTAGAATTTCCGATGATACCGGCATAACAGGGGTATGATTAAAGCTGCAAACGTTAACTGAGCAATCCTCGTATAGGATCCAATTCTGGCAACAATACCGGCAGCCATGAGTACGGCTATCGCCACCACGAGGCAGGCGAATCTGACGTCCATTTCCTGATTATGAAATAAAACCAGGGCAAAGCCGTTGTCAGTGCGACTACACACACGTTATGTCGGGGTCGCCAGGTGTCGCGGGGCTGCCAACAGAAGGGATGTTATATATTTTATCGTCTTCAGGGGACTCGGGGGGCTTGATTTAGCGCTATGAAAATCGGTATTTTCGTTCCGCGTCTGGGTTTAGGGCTCTGGCCACTGCTCTGGGGGCTTTTTTCGTCCTGTAACCTAGGGGGATTGACATAGAACCCGACCAGAGAGGCCTTACAACCGTGGAAATATTATCGCACTATATGTTGCGTGCACTTAACGATCGGCGCGTGCGCAAAACACGTGGGGAACGGCTTCTGGGGGTGAGGGATGTGTTGGTGGATAGGGCACCACACGATTGGCTCATTTTATATTTCTCTGGTACATTTTTATGGATGAATGTTGGAGTCACCACGGTACACGCACACCTATGGGACACCTGCACCTGTCCCTCGCCGAGGAAATCGCGGGGCGTGGGGGAGAGGGAAGTACGGAAAATTTAATTGAAAATTTTATTGAAGACGTTAATTCAGCGGACACTTGTGATTTTAATGTTCAGGCTTCGATATTTGCACTAGTTATTTATTTGGGGGTTCGGGTTCACGGCGTGCACTGCTGGGGGCTCGCGACGCGATCGTCAAATGTCCAATGGGAGTTTGGGGAGGGGGTGAACTGGTTTTAATCATCGATAGAGTGAATTTGGGGGACTTTTTTTCGATTTGGAGATTTTTTTCGGGAGCTAAATGAGACGATTTGTCCGAATCTGAGCGGCTGGTTGGGAGTATTGGGGGATTAAAGGAGTTTTTTCGGTTCACCTTCTCTATCGATTTTCTCACGGGGTGCGAATTTAACGGGAGAAATTTTAATGAGATTTTTATCGCGGATGACGCGGGGTGACACTTATTCGAGTGGAGAGTGCAGGCGACGTCAGACTCTACTCCGGATATTTTTTCGGGAAATTAAACTCCATTTCCGGGAGGGGAATAGCGACTCAGCGTTCGTAACTGTGGGGCAGGTCAGGATATCCAATTTAATTTATTTGTCGGGGGTTGAGCGGCGGTTTTCGCTTGAGTTTTGGAATTTTCACTTACGCAAATCGCGGAATAAACTGTGGTAGTTGAGTAATCCCTTCGGTACCGGGATGCAACGCAGCAAACCGTCCGACAACGACTGAAACGAGGTTTGCGGGAAACGATATATAGTTACTGTACCGCCGTTGCGCATCGGAAACTCCGGCTGCGTTTTCGAGAGTTCCCCCTCTCCAGTGTTAAAACCCTCCAGCGGATGGTTATCCTCGTGTTCGNTTTTTTTTTTTTTTTTTTTTTTTTTTTTTTTTTTTTTTTTTTTTTTTTTTTTTTTTTTTTTTTTTTTTTTTTTTTTTTTTTTTTTTTTTTTTTTTTTTTTTTTTTTTTTTTTTTTTTTTTTTTTTTTTTTTTTTTTTTTTTTTTTTTTTTTTTTTTTTTTTTTTTTTTTTTTTTTTTTTTTTTTTTTTTTTTTTTTTTTTTTTTTTTTTTTTTTTTTTTTTTTTTTTTTTTTTTTTTTTTTTTTTTTTTTTTTTTTTTTTTTTTTTTTTTTTTTTTTTTTTTTTTTTTTTTTTTTTTTTTTTTTTTTTTTTTTTTTTTTTTTTTTTTTTTTTTTTTTTTTTTTTTTTTTTTTTTTTTTTTTTTTTTTTTTTTTTTTTTTTTTTTTTTTTAAAGAATGTTTATTCACACCAATTTGAACAGTTACAGGTATCATGTCACAGTGGGCATGTTATTTCCGTACAAACAAACAAATTATATTTTTTTATAATATTTTTTTATAATTAAGAGATATTATATGAACACAGTTGCGCTGCTCGTAATAATCATATGACGGGATTTGGGCTATGGACTATATTATTAAATATTCATTCAGGTTTGTTGTTTAGAGTCATTAAACAAATCTTTTTCATATAATGTTGGATTAACACCAGAAAATTGGTCGGTAAAAACTGGTGGGTGGGTTAGAGCCCCTCTGCCCGCCGCTCGTCGCGAATTTCAGCCGATGATGGGTCGAGCTGAGATGTTCGAGGAGGATAGAAACCCCAGGAAAAGCGCAGGGTCATGGCTTATTATTCCAATTTCATGTGCGAAGTACAGTTCTCGCGTTGTTTATGAGGCGATGATTTTATTGCGGAGTCGTACGGGATTGCGAAGGGAATTATCGTAATAACAGCAATAATTTGCGCGTTTTTTTATTTTAGTCTTTATTTTTCTGCTGGCGGTTGCTGTACCATTTTTGTGGCTTAGATCAATCAATTCTGATAATTACCGGCGATGGGTTGTGCTGAAAAGTCCGAGGAGGAGGGGAAGTTCAGGGTCAGGTTTATTTTTCCAATCTCACGTCGCTTGTGAGAAATGTAGAGTCAATTATCATGATAACAGCAAAAATTTACATGAAAAAGTAACGAGTTCACGTAAAAAATGATCTCTTATGCACCTTCCTTCCGATTTTACTCTGTATTTTTCTCTTGACGTGCCCACGCGCAATGTTTTTTACGAAAATGTTTGTACGGAATTAGTAAATTACCAAAGTTCAATAGTTACACACAATTACCCAGAGCTGATTATTCAAAGACACGTGACGGTGGAAGTGGCGCGGAGCACAAGGGGTGGCGAGATGAAACGTTGGTACTGTAAATGAACTTCCAAGCGATAAGGTGAAGCCCGTTGATAATACACCCACTGGCAGTTCCTCGTGTTTCGCAGTGACGAAAGGTTGAGTAGATTGAAAACATCGAAAAGTGATTTTTTCGAAGGATTTTACTATTTTTATCGTAGTAGGATCAATGCAATTTAAATCCAGAAAACAATTTTTTCTTCAAAAAAAAAATCCGAACCTTCAAAAAAAAAAATTCCGAATCTTCAGGAAAGCCAAAAATTTTTTTTAACATTATCCATTCAGTGAAAGTCTGTAAATTCTCCTGACATTTTTTTACTGAAACACTCGTCATCGACATTTGCAAAGTGTGAAAAACATAATTATTACGGCTTTACCACTTCGCCACAGAATCCTTCGACATTTACCTGTATCCCACGAGCTTCTCTTTGTCTTGAAGCATTGAAAAGGAAAACAATGGGGCGAGGGATTACACCTCGAGAACTTGTGGGTATTGGATTATGTACGTGGAGAAGGCATTGTCATGAGGAGGTTCAACCTCCAAGAATCTTGGAACACTGACCTTTACCTCGATCCTTACGGGAGGTGCTCTCCATTCGCGATAGACTGGCCATGAACAATCCCATCGCCTCATTCTCTTCCTCTTGGATCGGGGATTTTTTATAATCAAATTGAACAGCTCATTTTCCGCAATAATGATCGATTGCAGGGGGAAATTTAAAAAATCCTCTGACAGTGACTGGACTAAATGCATAATTAATCAAATTTATTGTGCGATTTATTCACAGTTTTAATTGTTATTCGTGCCACTAGAGATTATCTTCTCTACATTCCATTTTACAATCACTGAGGCCCATTTTTATGGAAAGCCTAAGCCACATGCCTCGTGGGGATTCCAGACGTAACTGTTTATTTCTATAAATAGAATTAGACCAGGGCAAGTCGTCTCATGCAATACAAATGTGTGGATTCTAAATTGTTCAGTTGTACTTCAGATGTGAGTCGAACGACATTAGTCACTTTACCCTTTAATGATTCAATTACCACGTGACACTGAATGTGATTTTGGGTTTACAAAAAGATTTTGACAATGGGCCAGTTTTCAATGAATATCTCGGAATCTAGGGGAGATGGCAAAATTTTTGTCATGACCTTTTTTGTAGAGAAAATTAAGGACTACAAAAAAGGTCATTATGAAAATTTCGTTATCTCCCCTAGATTTCGAGATATTCATTGAAAACAATCGTCAAAATCGATTTAATTCGTTTTACCGTTTCGGTGTTGATTTTTTCATCAGTAAAAGGTCATAGACGTTTGACGAACGACAAATTCATCTGCGAATGTGAAAAAATACGTTTGAGTCGAAATTAGGATTTTTTCGGCCGAACAATGCAATGCATATAACATTTAACGTGAATTGCAAGTAATTATCCCTCACCTTATAGTTCAGCACAACGATGGGGTCTTGAAAGACGATCGTGAGACCATGGGATGGAGGAAGAGGAGACGAGACACTGGGGACATCACGCATGCATGGGAAACACACTTCCGGTGTCATTTCTTTTTTCATGCGTGATGAATTTTTAAATCTACTCTAGGAAATTTCATCCTTCAATTCAGTTGTCCAATGTTGGAAATTGAATTGAACGTATTTGATTCAAGTGAATTGAGGGGAAAATGTAGCTAAAAATTCGTGTTATTCGCGTCACCAATTGGGAAATATAAATATTTTTTAATCAGACGTGAATTCACACTGCAAAAAAGGGGACGAATTCGATAAGATAAATGTCTGAAAGCATCAGATTTCCAATTGAGATTGATTCAAAAATTTACTCATTATTTTAATGATTTTCTTCATCACTAGAAAAGGATTATGAAAAATCATCAGAGATTGAATGAGGTGAATAAAAAGCCTCCAGCGCATATGAATATATAGAAAATATCTTTAATTTATTTCTAAAAAATAACAAATAACAATGCTTGCTAAATCATTGTGACATACCACATACACCCACTGAAAAAATCCTTTAGAAATAACTAGTGACTGAACAACAAGTCACAGATAATGATCATTTGATTTTCATTGACAATAAATCAAAATCAAAGAGCCTCTGTTTTGTGCGATACTTCACATATCAAACGATTTTCAAATATATTTCCTCCATAGCATGAGAAATAATAGCGAGAGATAAAGATGAATCGATGAATCCGAAACCGCTGAAGCGAGATAAGTACACGATAAATCATCAGCTGCCTGATGTCAAAAAGCTCAACTTAAATGTGAAAATTTTACCTATAATTTATTCATAAATTCAATTCTATGTACAATAATTCGAGTTTTAGAGGTGGGTTTCACCACAATTCTCGTGTAAAAAGTAAATCTTTCTCAAGAACACATTTTATTATCTCATTCTCGTTTGACGGCATTTAAACGAGTTGTAATTGAACTTAGTCTCGAGATTCAAGAGATTTTCTCGTAATTTTTCCATTCCACAGTAGTGAAGTGGTAATTTAATCCTCAAGAATTATTCCCATTGGATCATCACCGTTTACCATTCTGCTACTGATTTTATTCTTACTTTACAATGTTTTCAGTTTGGAATTCATTTGTGCTCGTTGTTATTTCGGTGTTTCTTTGATTTTATGAGAAAAACGTCTAGAAACGTATTTTCCCCTGCTGTATTTGTTCATATTCCTCTGGTGTCAGGGGTAAATACCCGGATTTTGGATCCAAATAGTATAATTTATCACGCGATTTGTTTGGATCGTATCCATCTTCTTGGAGATCTTTCTTCTTCAATTTGAAAGTTCCTGCAATTAAACATTATTCACTTATTTATAATGATGATTGTTGCGATGAACATTCGGCGAAACATACCTGTGAGATCAATTTTCGTTAGGATTCGCACAAACTGGGGCCTCGCATAGACTGGCAGATGCTCTCTTATACTCTGTGCTAATTGATTTAAATCTAAAGAACCGTTCTCGTCGTATATCGCCACCATACCCGCTTTGCCTTCAGCACCTTTGACCTGAAAAACCGATGAAAAATAATTGAAGACTTGTTGTAAATCACATAATTGGATAAACAAATTATTTCAAAATGTTATGGCCGTGACTATTCGCACCAGAGCATGAATCACTCCCGTACACTCCATACACTCCACGCATGCGTG